TCGTCCGTCATGAATTTAATCAGCTTATTCGAACAATGATCTGATAGTGATAACGGGTTGTCTGGCAATCTGAGATCTCCCTTGTATTTGGCCAACAGTTTTTTGTGTAAATCTGACATTATGTCGTTATTAAAACTCAAAAAGATTCCTTTCTTTTCTGCCCTGAGGGAAATTTTTAACACGCTAACCGATGTAATAAAATCTCGTAACAGTTTTTCTTGATCTGAATTTAATGACTGATTGATTAATAATACTGATTGGGCAAGAAAGAATAAAAAAGTTTTGTCTGAAAGGTAGAAATAATTGAAATCGAATTTTGATAAGTTTAAAGGAACACAACCGCTTGTGCAAGACTCTGAACGCGAGTGATTGGAATTACAAATTCTGATAGTGTCGTTTACGTAATTCAGAATATTCGAGAAGAACGACCGTTGGATGCTTTATGATAAATCTTTCTTTCCACCCATTGGATTATTGCAATCCAAGTTACTAATCGTATTTACATCCAATGGATAATACACTTCGTTCTTTTTACAATTATTCTTTTTACAATCTTTATTTACAGAGAAGTTTTCTACAATCTTTTGTACTGTTGCCACTACAAATTCGCTATCGTAATGTGATGTAGGGAGTGCTTTACCTGAAGGTAATCTCGACAATAAATCTGTAAATCCCATGTCTTTTCCCGGAATGTGCTTGATCTTAAAATTAAATGGTAACAGTCGATTTACCCAACGGGTTAATCTGCTATGCATTGTTTTGTTGCTGTGGTTTGTATTTAATGCTGATAATAATGCCTTATGGTCCGTCACAATTTCAAATTCGGCACCATACAAGTAATTTTTAAAATGTTCTGTAGCCCAGACTACTCCCAACAATTCAAGTTCGTTTGTAGAATATTTACTTTCATGGTTGTTTAAAAATTGGGAGGCGAATGCTATTGTTACCCAATTTTCTCCATTCCATTGTTCTAGGGTAGCTCCTAAGCCGTTATGGGAAGCGTCTGTCTTGAGTCTTGACATCCTTTTTATGTCGAAGTGGTTATTCTCTGTTATCTTCACTATCTGTTGTTTTAGTTCTTCAAATGCTTTGGTATGTTCGTCGTTCCATTGGTAAACTGATTTCTTCACGAGAAGTGGTCGTAGGGGAGAACTTAGGGCGGACAAATTCGGGACGAATTTCATATACTGATTGATCGATCCAAAGAAAGACCTTAGTTCAGATATGTTTTTGGGGTTTGGTAGATTTTTAATCGAATCTGACTTTCCCACCAATGGTTTCACGCCCGATTTTGATATCTTGAAACCTAGCCACTCTATTTCTTTTTGGAAGAATGCACATTTTCCCCATTTTACCGCCATGTTCTTGTTGTCCAAAATGTTTAAAATGTTTGTTAGTATCGTTTTGTGTTCATTAAATGAACCTTTCGAAGCTATTAAAATGTCGTCGATATAACAATTGGTAAAAGGAATATCTTTCAATAAAGAATCCATTACCCTCTGGAATTCGTTTGGCATGTCGCCCAATCCGTAAAATCCAGTTAAAAACCTATAGGTTCCAGTGGTTTCGCCCCCCACGATACTAAAGTTCCACTGTTTGCTAGTGTCTGAGCATAATTGTAGTTGGCTGTATGCGTTCTTTAGATCTAGATTACTAAACCAAACTTCCCCTGACTCTTTGCTTGACAGTTGGAGAGCAATATTATCGATCAGTTCATGTATGTTTGGCATCTGGTACTTGTTTTTGAATATCTGATTATTTAATAATTTCGAATCTAGTGCCAACTTGATGCTACCGTCTTTTTTTCTTGTAATCACAATTGGGCTTATAAAACAATCTTCGTCGCATTTGTTCAACTTTAAGATGTGCCCCTCTTTTTCCATTCTATTTAGTTCCATTTTTACGTTATCGAGTAGATGTAAGGGAACTCTTCGACCTTTGGCTTGGATAGGTTTGAATGGGGAGTGGAAATGAGTAACTTTTCTGTCCGAAGGTATTTTTCCCACTCTGTTAAATAGCCCTTTGTACCTATGATACAGATTAAGGGTCGTATCTGAATAATTATTTGACTTACACAATTCTGTGTGTGATATGTTGTTGACGGGTAGTAGAGGCTGTCTTTGGGCTATCTCTATTCCAATTCTCGGGAGATTGTCATTACCCAGGATGTTCCTCTCATGTCCAGAAGTGATGAAAAATGGGGATTCGTCCGCGGTCCATCCATTGGATTGTAACCTCACAACCACCTTCCCGATGATGTTGATTGTGTCGTTAGTGAATCCGCAGTATAATTCCCTCGTTTTCTTCTCAACTGGCTGAATCTTCAACTGTGGATTTCTCAGCTTCAATTCGTGAAGTACATTTTGTTTCAGGAAACTCACTGGGCTTGCCGAATCCACTGGAATAATCAAGTTGACTATCGCGTCGTCTCCCAAACCGATGTTGACAAGTTTTTTTGTTTCCAAACCATTGGTATCGTAGATTGTTCTAACGTTGAGGACGGAATAGTCATCGTTATCACTTATCCCCTCTTCGGTCCAAGCGTTAATAACTCCACAAAAATTTTCTTCGCTTCTCATCTGAAGATCTTCTGGGGAATATGAACAATTCTGACTATTTACAGCTTCATCTACAGTATTTACAGCGGGTTTTCTTCCTTTCGATTTACAAAGTCTTCCAAAATGTCCTTTATATTTACAAATATTACACACGATTTCTTTCGCCGGACACACATTCAGATGACCCTTGGTAAACGCATTCCCGCATTTCATACAAGTATTAGATCTTTCTATGTTTAAGCTTGGTTCCTTTTTAACGTTGTTGAAGTTTTTATACCCTCTTCCACTATTTCCTGTCGTGTTGAAAGATCTAGTCATATTGGTCAGTTTGAGGTGGTTGTAGTAGCCTTTTTCGTCAATTATAGCTTGGTTTAATGCATCCAATGGATTGAGAGTTTCCGAAAGTAGTCTACGTTGTAAGTCGCAGTTTTTCATGTTAAAGATAAATACGTCTCTGATCCACTCCTGTTCTGCATTAATTCCAATTTCACATGATCTCGCCAAGTCTGATAACGCGCCCCAAAATTGTTCATAGGATTCTCTATCCTTTTGTTTCCTGCTCAATAATTTGTATCGTTCGAATGTTATGTTGGTTGGTTTGATAAAAGCCAATCCTAGCATTTCGTAAAACTCCTTGAATGAGATTCCTAGGATTTTTACCCTTGGATGTTTCTGGGCGAAAACTCTTTTGCCTTCCGCTCCTAAGGCCAAGTATAGGATTGACCTTACTTTTTTATCGGCCTCGTATCTCCTCATTCCTCCGAATTTTCTCTTTTCTTCTGCTAGTCTTTTCTCTTCAGCGTGTTCATAGACTCGCATTGTTTCTTTGTTCCTGGCCTCCCTGGATTTCCTCTGTTGGTCAGTTTCTGACTCCTGGGCGCCTTCTAGGATTGGTAACGTCGTCTCCCCTTCCATTGGTTCTTTGAGATTATCTAGGTCTAGGTTTTCCTTCGCGATAATGGCCAAATGAAATTGGTCTATCCAATTATTCCATTGGGTGGGGGGTTCAACCGTGTGGTTCGGCCAAAAGGCGGGTATTCCCCTCAGGTTCGAATCAGTTGTTGACTGCGCCATAATAAAGAGTTAAGATGTACCAATGGTAACTTGAGTATCTAACTAAAGTTAAAAGAGGATAAAAGTAATGTTTGAATTAAAACTGACTGTAGTCTAAAAAGAGCAACTAGTGACTCGAAGTCCACTGGACTTCGTAGAGTTATTATTGACTGGTATGTAATTAGGTCATAGAGGTCAAGGTTATAACATACTAAAAATACTGAATCACAACAGTCCACCATATTGATTTTCTAAGCTCTGTCAAATCACTATAAAGACCCCCCATTTCGATCAAATTTTCTGCACTCAAAAAACAGGCCAAAACGCGTTTTGAGGTTTTTTTCGGCGCGTTTTTTGGCGCGCGCTCCCCCTTCAAAATTAGTAAATATTGGCGCCAAAGGCGCCTTTAGAAAAATTTTAGGGTCAGTCAGCCAAAAATGGATATCTCAAAATAGTACAAAGGGGGTCCCCTTTGGGTCGACAGGGGAGCGAATCCCTGAAGAAGGAGGCGTCCGCACCCCGCCCCCTTCCCCCTAAATCCGCTACTGACTATCTGATACATATCGATGCGCTGAAGTCAAATTTTAAACTAAATTCCACTACTGATCGTTTGTTGTGAAATGATGGAGTTTTAAGTCTTGCCAATTTAAGATACCTAATGGGCCAGAAACTCATTTTTTTTTAAATGACTGGCTAAGGCTGCCCGAATTACTGCGGTCCAGAAATCATTTAAATTAGGCCCGTTTTAAATGAGGCAAACTAATTGATTTAAAAAGTATGCCAATAGATGTTTACATTTTTGAAATTTTAACAAATTTGAAAAGAAAATTAGTTGAGATACCGTACAGTCAGAGTTTTAAGGGCTTCAATCTGCTACGAGCAGTCTTTTTTATTCTTTACTTTTTTTAAGTAGCTAACACAGGACTAACAGCAAATTATCAACTCCGATCATTTTTCTGATACTCCTTTTTCATTTTTTTTAAAGAAAATTGTCGCAACAATTTTTAAAATTAAATAAAAACAACGCACCTTCAAATAAGTTCAAAGTGACAAAATTAGGCTCTTTTTTGACTTCTACCCTGCCTGCGAATATTTAAATTTTTTGTTCATATTTTCGATTTTTACAAATGGCATGCGGACTAATTAGGCCATGACAAGCATAATCTGTCTTCATACTTAACCTTGCAAAGCCCATCGTTAGACCATAAAATCGATGTTTAAGTGAAGTGCGTGATGAAAAAAGCACAAAATTAGAAATAAGTTTACCGATTCTAATGACATCGAATTAAAAACTTGCATTCTGGATATTGAACATCAACAATTAATCAAAGTTTTATGTCTAACGCTTTTAGTGATTTTGTTGAGCAGTTTTATATATTCTGACTTAATTTAGTTATTGGGAATCGCAATTTTCTCTTCTTTCAAATAATCTTTCATCAGCCCTAGTTCTTGTGGGTGTTCTTTCAAAGCATCCATCACTTCTCCAACTATCGACTGCAATCTTGTTCTCCCGTGTCTTAAGTTAATGTCTCGGTAGCCAGAGGATCCTGGATCTAGTCCCTTCACGCTTCTCTGGACAGCAGCCCTGGCTCGGTTTAGCTTCTCGTTGATAGTCTTTTGTTCGGTTTTGGCCTATTAGATAAATTCAGGTCAGATAAATTGCCTACAAACCAAGCTGACAGCATGTACAATGAAAGCATGTACAAATTGAGACCAACCAAATATTAATCTAAAAAACTTTTACCAGAGGATGAAAAACTTGGTTGTTTTTAGTTATCCCCCTCCCTATTGCAAAACAGGTGGGGGGGGGGGGGGGGGATCCTTACCAGGTAACACATTAGCACATGCTTGAATGTTGAATCAGTTCTGGAAAACTCTGGGTACCGTAGGGGGAATAATTAAAGCCATCTCCGACCTTGTCATTTTTAATATGTGACATGTGAGTACATTATTGCTAAATAAAACCAACGTTTTATCTAATGGTGACGTTTTTTTTTCAGAGTAACTTGAAACTATACTTGATCAAATGTTATTACTAATTATAACTGAATTGAAAGTTAAGATATCTGAGTAAGCTTTCATCTCTTTCACTTAGAGGAAAAGAAATTACTCTTTATTCTGTAGTTTTTCTACTTGTCTTATTCACCTTGCGTTTATACTGTTATTTTTCTTTCTGCAGTTTTTCATTCTGTATTAATTTTCTATTTGATTAGAAGGAAGTTCCTTTTTAAATATATCTGACCTTAGAAAGGACCAGTGTCTTTTCGGTCAGGTATTCCTGCTGCTCCTCTATCTGTTTGTCCATCTTCTGCAGTCGCTCGGTGCAGACCCCTCTCTCTTCATTCAACTCAGCCACTTGGTTTCTCTTATAAGACACCTGAAGTTTTCATGTGATTCTCGAACTAGTTTCTTTCCTGGAAGTTTTTTTACTGCAAATCATCGGATAACTCTTTCAAATTTTTTAAAGATAACTCTTTAAAAAATCAATGCTAGCCCAGGATGACCAAAAGTCACATCTTAGAACTTTTGTTGAGAATCTTAAATTTTCTATAACAAAATTAGACTCAAGATGGGAACTTTTCTTATAAGAAAAATGTAAGATAGTGATTTTTAACATTAGAAAGATCTAAGACAGGAGCTTTTCTCATGAAAAAATAGTAACATTGCTCTACAAAAAAAAAAGGAATTGAATAGGTTTTTTGTTCCGACCATTTGAAAACTGGGTAGGAACTTTGCTTCGGGTGTTTTAGTTTTTTCTGTTTTTTTCCTGTTTTATTTAGTTAATTAAAATTTTAATTTGGATTTTTTTTCATCAATAACTCGAGAATCAAAAACTTAAAAATTTCAAAAAAAAATCTAAATTTTTATAACAATTTTTTTTTGTTTTTCAAAAACTTTTCCAGAAAAACTGTTGTCCAATTTACCTATTTACTATGACTGTCGAATATGCTTAAAAGGTAGTTTTTTATTCACATGCTTTTATCACATCTTGCAGAAAATGACGACAGTAATTTGAAAAAAAAAATCATTTTGTGGAACATTTTGTGATATTTGCACAAAAACCGGCCATCCTTGATGTAAAGCGGAAAACTCAAAACAGACTTTTTTGATATTTAATGTCAGGCGAATAAGACAGAAAAGTTAAAGAGAAAATAAAATTCTAGAATTTGTGTACTTCTTTTTTGAGTGACGTCAGCTTTTGTTTCAGCTCCAACATGGTCTCTTCATGGGCTGCTGTCTCTTTGCTTTTCGCTTTTGTTTTCCCTTCATACTTTGCTTTCAAAGCTGAGTTTTCAAGATCCAAGATCTTAAGTGTGTTGAACAAAGCCTCTAGTTCTTTCTCTGCTCTTAAATTAACCCAAAATGATGGTGAAAGTTGCAAAATTTACTGGAAAAGATCTAGCGTTCTTCAAAATGAATATGCGTGGTGTGGCTAGGTTACAACTTCTGCCCGCCATACTAAAATGTTTGCACGATGCAGCGAGACTTGCCTAGAAATTTGACGTGATTCCTGGATTGATTTTACAACAATAAGATTTTACTATAATACAGATTTTACAAAAAATTACCCGCAACACTTTTAAAAAATTACCCGAAAGTGCTACTCGGCGCAATCTTCAAAACACTGGTGGTCCAGCTGAAGCTGGAAGTCCAGTTTTGATAACTTTTAAGATGGTTTCGTATTGATGCGTAGTTTTTAAAAAGTCAAAAATTGGGTTTTTCTCATTGTTAAAATGATTTCCCTGCCATAAAAAAGTAATAGCCGCTCATGCGGCAAAAATGCCTACAAAGGGTGTTTTGATTGAGACCTTAATCTCAGATTGAGCAGGGACGCTCAAAAAGAAAATGTTGAAAAAATGGCCAAAAGTTCCTTGAATTTGAAACTTCCAAAGACCATGAGCAGTATGGTTTTCCACTTTTTAACCCCACGTTATTTAACCACCTATGTTTATACACCTACTTTATAACCCAGTAACAAGATAGCCCCACACAATCAAACTCTTTTTAAAACCAATAATTTGTTTCAAATTAAGTCCTCCTTCTATTATAACAGTATTCTAATTAAGTGTACTAACTGAGGCCTGAGAATCCATTCTTAATTCAGATGATGCATCTAGCATCTCAAAAATAATTGAATTTCGATTAGCTAAATAAATAATCCCTCATTCAAGTGTGTGAAACAGAGATAACCTACATTGTTTTAACTGGAGGCATCAAAAATCTTTTAAAAATTTTACATAAAATCATACTGCTTGACACTTCAGCCATTGTGATACCGTTTTTGGATATATATAATACATGAAGCGTCCTTCCAATTTACTCTATCTTCCAAAAGCAATTAAATTATAGTGGTGTCATGCCAGGAGTACTATTTAGCAAAACCTTTAAAATTGTAGTTTCTATAAATCACCGAGCGGGCAAAAGTTTGCAAAAAGAAAAAATTTTGGCGACTAAAAAAACAATGCGAAATATTATTCATGTTTTTGAAGAAAAAAAAGATATGCAATTTTTTTTGAGCAATGGTGAACTTCAGCTGAAGATTTGTTAATATGATCTTTAATTTTTTTTTAAATTAATTTCGAGAAACATCCCAAAACGTTCCTTTTTTCTGGTGGGACGCTAGGTTGGTACTAGGGGCTGGCAAACCCTTAAAACAAGGCGTTATATGCTGACAATTCAAAAAAATTCGACAAATTTGACAAACTCAACTAGACTAGGGGCTGGCAAACCATTAAGACAAAGTGTTGTATGCCTCAATTTGAACAAAATTGACAAACATTAGGTAACTTTTGTTTTAAAATGATCGACATTCGATTAAATTTTAGACTAGATCAAATTTTTGGTCACAACTAGTTGCTTTCCATTGGTTCGTTTGAATTCAGCCAATCAATTTATCTATAGCATTACTTTTTTCAAGATCATATTCAATTTTTGGAAAATCGTATCATTTTTGGTGATTAATTTGAATCGTTCCCGACGGATTTGCTTTCATGTTCATATCAAAGTCTAGAGTACTGGCAAGGTCTCTTCTATTCAAGTCTAAACCGCATTTAGCAGCGTTTCGTTTTGTTTTGCAAAGTTTTTGCTTTTAAAGCTTTGATTTTTACCGACGCTATTGTTCCGATTCTTTTCAAAGTAAGTTTCAATTTGGTTCTAACAATTGGTATTAAAAACGAATTAACTGTAGTTGGGTTTTCTAATTTTGGGGTCATATAAGAGAAGGTTAAAAAATATGGTTAAAAACTCGGGGTGATAAGCTTGGAAACCAGGAGTACTGAGACATTTAGAAGCTAATGAAATAAGCAGGTATTCAAAGCAGAAAATGATTTTTATATTGATGCAAATTTGAAGAAAAAAGACAGTGTGCTTTGGTGAAAATTCAAAACCTTTCTAAAGCGTCTCGGAAAAACAGAAAAACCAAATGTCATAGTTTTTCTGTTTATTTTTATCTGTTATGTCAAACAAGAGTTTTTGAAAGGCATAAGAGGAGCTAACAAAATTTTCGCTAATTGAATCAAACAAATTAACTTCCATATTCGATTAGGCGTGGTTAACTCAGAGGCGAATATAACATTTGAAAACAGACCAAATCGATATTCGGAGCTACATCACAGCTTTAGAATGTATAATTTCCAAGCTTTTGAGAATGGTTTTTACTAGAAAATGTTTTTCAACGCAAAAGTAGCCCTTGTTACGACCACGAAACAAAAAACATCTTTTAATCGAGTTGGTTTTCTCCAAGCAAATGCAGCGATACAAAGAAGTCGTTCAAGGTGTCTTGAAATGAAGTATTCTATCATCGCCCTTTCAGTGTAGTTCCGCAAAATTTAAAACAAACTATCCGGTTTCATATTATTTGGCCATATTAGTTTTGCTTCTCAGACAAGTTTTCACTGCTCATTTTCATTGACCAGCAATTTTGAAGAAGAGCGTCCAAAAATCATTTTTATCCTGAACACCAGTTTTAATTCACCTTATCCAATACTCCAAAAAGCATTAGGTAATTAAGTTCTCTCAGCTATCTTAGAAGCAAGTGGAAAGCAAAAACCTAATGGTTTACTTAGAAAAGGTAAAAAGATTGCGTAAGTTTTGAACAACCGTCTGGTCAAAAAGACACCTCTGCAAGCACACCGTTTATGAAATTTGTATGTTAAAGAAATTTGTAACTTTTTTAAGACGTATAAAAAATGTCATCGGAGGGTCGCAAAAGATTTTCAGAGCATTCATTTTAAAAAAGTTTGAAAAAACAAACAAAGAAAATCGATTATTCCTTAAATCGTGATTCACTCACTTTTTCACGTCTTTATCCAACTTGTCCCCTTGATTTTTCAAGTTTTCACGCTCCTGAACAAACTCCGAAAGTGCCATTTCTTGGGACGCCTTATTGGGCGTCCGAGCCAAAAGCGTCTCGTAAAATTTTCTCCTTTGTTCGAGTTGAACTTGCTTTTGCCCTAATTCGTGGTTTATTTGCGAGTTGGCCTCTCGCAGCAGTCGAACTTCGTACGCGTTTTGCTCTGCTGTCAACTTCATTAAAAGCTTCATTTCATCTCGCGTTGATTCCATAAAGTCTAACTTATCTTCACGATCGTGTAGTTTTTCTGCAGTCGTTTTTTCACTTTTTTCTAGAGCCATTACTTTCATTTTATGCACACAGAAATCTTTCAAAGCTTCTTCTTTTTGTTTTTTCTTCAGTCCCAAAATACGAACTGCGTTTTCAATATAAAAGTGCTCATGTTCTCGGTCGGCAGTTAGCGACTCTTCGAGCTCTCGGCTTTTCTCGTATTCCTGCCGAACTAGCTTAATCTCAGTGCGTTGGCTGCCGACTTCCTTCTCGTATCTTCGAACTGTCTGGTTCAGTTTCTCGAGCTATAAGCATAAAAAGTTGTTTCAAAATAATTTTTCCAAGTGCTTCTTTTCTAAGTTCTCCAAGTATTAACACAAAAATTCCAAAGATGGGGCTTTTAGGTGGTCAAAATTCATTTAGTCATTTAGAGTTTCAAAACACAAAAATAGCAAAAGTATATATAAATCTATAAGAATAAACCGAGTGCTTCGAACATGGAAGATCTTCCCAAGATCATAGTTTTTTATGAGGAGTATATGGCTGAAAAATTTGTGGAGCAATGAACAATCGATGAAAAAATTGTTTCACATATCATCGATCAATGATCTGTTGATACTTGTGACACATACATTAGCCCTGAGCTGCTTCATCTTCTTCTTGAGTGAGTCATCCTCCACTTCGTCCTCTCTGTTCACACTCATCTGCTGCACTGCCACCTGCATCTTCTGCACTGTGTACTCCAGCACCACCATCCTGTCCAACAGGTGCAGCAGTTCCACGTCATGTTTGTCGTTCCTCCTCTCCACGCCAGTCAGGATTTTGGATAGTCCTGAAGTTTAGGAAACTTTTTTTTAGCTTTTCTGTTCAAAGTTTTCCTATAAATTTTACTCTGACTTCTATATTTCGGTTCGAAAAAGTGAACATTTTAATTGATTTTTTCTCAACAATAGGTGGAAAACTTGCTAAGAAAATGGGAAACAAGAGAAATCAAGTTACAATGAAACAAAAACATAAAATCAATGGTCCTGCTGCCGATTAAAGCAAAAGAGGTTGAAAAATTGCTTACTGATTTGAAACCTAAATATAGTCCAGACAGCTTCGAGACTTTTTTTATTTGAAAAAAACTAATGCCATCTATTGTTCCGACATTAGGAAACTTGTTTTTACTGAGTTGTTTCATCAACATATATTTACTGAGTTGTTTAAAAAAAAATTCGATGAAAAATACCTTCCAAAATACTTTAAATTAGCAAAATTCATTCCTTTTTACAGTGAAAGATGTCATTCCCAGCCACAAAATTACAGACCTATTTCATTGCTTCCACTTGTATAACTTCCAGAAAAAGCTATTTTAAACTGAATTATGAGCTTCCTGCAAAATCAATATTTTTAAAGAAAAATCAATTGGGATGAAGAGCAAAAAGAAGTATCATAGACGCAGTGGTGTCAATGACTGAACTAAAAAAGCCGACTGAGAGAAAGGAAATACTATCGCGCAATGTACATTTTCGGATCTAAAAAAGGTTTTGACACAGTATATTACGAGTTATTAACTAAAACTTTTTTTTCCTATGGCTTAGGTGATCGAGTGTTTGATGTAATGAAACTAAATCTACAAAACAGGAAACAGTACACCCAAGTTAATAAAAACACTTCAAAAGAAAAAAGGTAATTTTTGGTGTCCAACAAGAGTCTAAGCTATGTCCACTCCTTTTCATTATTTTTGTAAATGATCTAGATCCTGAACAAAAGATACAAAAACAGATTTGTATGCCGACGTTACTGCAATTTTAACTACAGCTTCAAAAAATTTCGATCGAAAAGAGCATCTAAAAGTCTTAGACGAGACTAGTCGGTGGCTTAAGAGCCATACACCTACTCTGAACACTGAAAAAAACTATAGCATTCAATAAAAGCAGACGTAATATAAATTTTGAGTTTCAAATGAATCAAATGGCAATTGAAAAAAAAAATAACAAATTCAAGTAATTAGGTATTACCATAGAACCTGATCTCAGTTTTAACGGTCACACAGAAACTCTTAAGAAAAAATTGAACACATTCTGCGGCACATTTTATCAGCTGCGCAAGACTTAAGCCTTATCACAAATGATAGAAGCTTAAAAAACCTATGTTCAACCTGTTATTCGATACGGCGTAGTATTTTATAGCATAACGAATATTACTAGAATCAATTATCTTAATCAGACTCTTAGAAGACTGTGCCGAATAATTTTTCACAAAAAAAGTTAGAGACACTAAAGCGTTCAACTGGAAATTATCATCGTTACAGTGCTACTGATATACATCTCTATGAACTATTTAAAATGTTAAAAAAATTAATTAGAAATGAAAACAATGTGGAAATATTCAGCAACGTAATTTTGTCTGAAGATCTCAGCAAGGTTAGCAATAAAAGCCTTACTGCTAGACATATTACCATAAGCGCTCACAAAAAAACTAAAAAGTTAATAATCATCCGAAATAAGACAATGTTCAATGCCTCACACCGAAATCAGGTTGATTTCAAAGAAACAATATTTGAAGCCTCAACCACAGAAATTAACAAAACATATCACAAATTTTTGGACAATTTCATAATGAAAAATCACGATATGGCAAATTTTATATCCAATTGAGGTGAAGATTCTCATATTCATGCTTTGGTGGTTGTTTTTGATTTAAAAAATTTTCGTTTCCTTCGTTTTTCTCAGCTTCAAAGACTGTTCTGTTCATCAACAGTGTAGTTTTATATATATCAACATATGTATTTTATAATTTTATATTTTCACATGTAAAGTTTTTTTAATGTAAATATATAATTATTTATATAAATATATGTGTATATAAATATATATATATATATATATATATATATATATATATATATATATATATATATATATATCTAAAAAAAATTCAGCTTTAAATAAACTGAGAATGTTTCCGCACAGAGACGTTTGAAAACAGACCAGTTGGTCTAAAGGCGTTCCCTTCTCTGAGTCTTCACGAGATGATATAGTTATTACCAGTATCTCATACTAATCTACTAATTTTTGAGCTTGAAAACAATTTATTATTATTATTATTATTATTAAAACTCTTTAATTAGAACTAGAGGTGTATGTTAATTTATGAGATTCCGAAGAATCATAAAAAAATGCCCAATCATGAAAAAAAGTTGTGGATGCAGTTCTAGAATGGGAGTAGAACTTTTGCCGCCCTGATGCATGAACACATAACAGTGTTCTAGTTTTTTATATAGGACAATTTTTTTCCAGGAAAAGGACCAACATACAAGCTGTTCAGCTCTTCACTGAGAAGCTTATTTTTCCGATTGGTTCTCATGAAGCTTTCCTGCTTGTGAAGGGGCGAATTTAGGTTTTTCTCGAAGGGGGTGGGCGGATTTTCAAAAATTGATTTTCCGAGCTCTCTCAAGGCACTACAGGAAATCTGTTTTGGCTAAAAATTTTGTGCCGCAGGCAAAACAGGCCAAAAAAGGCGTTTTTAGGCAGTTTTTTAAAAAATTAGTATATATTTGCTCCCACCTCAAAATTGGTTTATATTGGCGCCAAAGGCGCCTTTAGAAAATTTTTAAAGTCCGTCACCAAAAGAGAATATGTCAAAATAGTACAGGGGGGACCCTTTGGGTCGGCAGGGGAGCGAATTCCTGAGAATGGAGCGTCCGCCCTTCCCGCCCCCTCCCAAATCCGCCCCTGTGCTTGTGATATTTTCTCTCAAAATAGTAAGAATAGCCCGTGCCTTCTATTTCGTTGTGCATTCGTCTCTCCCTGTCGTGCATCTGTTTCAGTTTGTTCTGCAACGAGTACTTCTCGCTACTCTTGTCCTCCAACAACTTCCTCTGTCTCTCAATCAACTTCTCACATTCCACGTGTTCCAAGTCTGCAATATAATTCAGAAATGCCTAATTGCCGCAAAATTGTTAACTTAGAGCAACTTAAGCGGCCAAAAGTTTTTTTAGTTTAACTTTGGAACGTTTTTCTACATGCTCAAATTAGATAAAAATTGGTTCATTATAGGTTGAGTAAGCATTTATAGGTTTATTATAGGTTTGATTAACTTCGTTCAGATTCGTTCACCTAAAAAGATTTTGTCAACAATTTGTCATTAATTAAACAAAATATCCTTGCGACAAAACCTTTTCGTAGTTAAAAAACTTACAAGAGAGCAATCAAAACGGGCTCAAGTTTTCCCAGTCAAAATAGCGTAAAGTTAGGGTTCACTAGTTTAACTGGGTTACAAATCATTAATTTATGATAAAATAAATCATTATAATGCTAACCTATCTTCGCAAGCTTATCTTCAGCATTGAACTCTCCCCTTTTGGCTTTATCCAACTCCAACTTGCGCATCTCTTTTTGGGCAATCAGATTTCTCTCCCACTCTTTATACCTCTGATACTCTTCTTTCAGACATCGGATATTCTCTCGGGTCTTGAAAAACAGATTTTTTGTGATTTGGGTTCAAAAGTGATGGCAGCAAGTTGAAACTTGTCAAGTTGTTTGCTACAAAATTAACTTCCGTAACTAGTATAAAAAAACTATAATTCAGAACTGGAAAAATCTTTTTCAAATCTAAAATTGGTTGTGAATTGTTAAAATAACGCTTTGGTACTTCAAGAATGAGTTTTTTCAAATGTAACTTCAGTTTGAAAATTTGTTTTTCGTGGTTACTTCGGATCTAAACAGATCAATGTTTTTAACACAATTTTGCTATTTTAGTAGTTCTGTACATTCCAGCTTCTGCCAGCTGCTAGTAGGATTTTATCGATTTTATTCGAAGCCTGCTGGAATACGTTTTCCCAAACATGAGATAAACATCCATAATGCATGAGTAGCGCATGAAACTCAAAAGTTTGATAGGTCTTCTATCAATTTTTGAAAACAAGTAAATTAGTTTCAAAAAGGCATTGGTTTTGAAAGTATAATTTAAAAAAATAAATACTGGACGCTTATTCCAAGAAGAGATTTTTTATTGGTGTCATAATTTATTTAATTCCAAAACTGTTGTTTGACATAATAGTAATTTATTATTTCCGTTATCTGAACTTAAAATGTAGGTTTTCTTCGAAGTCAAAAAATGACATTTATCAAGCCATCGAGTTAAAATAGATGAATTTGAATGATTAGTAACCAAATAAAAAACCTCGCAAAATCCCATTTCAGTTACCTCTGCAAATCAATTTGAAGGCAAACGATTTGAAAAAAAAATTCAATAGGTTTTCAAAAATGGTAAAAATAATAAATTTAGAACAGCCAAAACTCAAAAATAAGAGCCGAAGTTCATTGAAAATCAACGATTATTCTGGATTCCCCATAATCTGTTATATTATTGATCATAATCGGTTATAACATCATTTACTATTCAGTATCGATAGAATTACAAAGTTATCAACTCTTATTCATTAAAAGTGGATTATTTTCCAGTTTTTCTTTAAGTCAATATAATCCAGTATAATGGAATATAATCATTACAATGGATATTTGAGAGGTTATTGATAAAATAAGATTTTATATAATTATAAGTTTCAGTTTTTTCAGTTCTCAATTTTTGGCGGCATATCTTTTTTATTTTATTTTCTTTTGTTAAAACGGTCACTCGCCCAACCACTCCCCTCACGTTCAGGTAGAATGATTAATGGCTGCACGGGTAGGGATGGGGTTAAGGCTCCCATGGTTGAACTCATGCTTACCCATTAACTCATGGATTAACTAATGGTTTAACTTTTAAACTCCATTTTTATTACCACCCCAGTTTACCCCATACCCCTAATTTATCTCATTCCCCCCGATTAGAAAACGTGTGTGGGGGTGGTTAAAAACTTAGGAAGATTTAAACGAAGGGGGTGTCATTGAGTTTGTTTAACAGGTGGGAGGAAGTGAATTCGGGCTGGTAAACGGAGAGAGGGGGAGTAAACATAAAAATGAGCTTTGTCAAACTTTTTTTGACATTCTACCCTTTTTGCTTGTTAAACTGTAAAAGACATGGCATAGAATTTCCTGCGAAATGGATTAGTATTTTTTTGATATTATAATCAATTTCGTGGTCTGAATTTTTCGTCTTTAATGCATTATAATGATTTATTTTTGTCTCGGAAATCCATTATAGTCTATTAAAATCCATGGGAGCTCAGTTTGTGTTGGATACTGAAAATACTGACTAAATTTTTAACCAATTATTCAATCTTAATCACAAAAAGATTAAAATTACATTTAATTTTTCTCGACACTAAAATAACTCTTTTCTATGTTCTCACTCAAAACAAAGAACGTCTGAAGGGCTTCAACTTTCAAAGCTAAAATTAAAATTTGACACTCTTGCGTAAAAATTCTAGCCTCCCTCTTTTTTAATACTGAGCTGCTTTGATTTTTCCTCGTTTTTTTTGGGCTAGAACACGTCTGAAATAGTTTGATTATGTTTTCTAAATTGATCACATTTTCCCCGCTGTGAACCAATTTGTAATTTTGCGTCAAAAAATTCGAATTAAAAATGTTTCTGTGTTTGTGAAACTCAGATCGCTTATACAGTTGGTTTTGATTTTCCGCAATAATTTTTCGTTCACAACAAAGCACAGATTTGGACTAAAATTTTTTTCTAGATACCTTCCTTGAACGTAGACAAAATCGAAATTGAAAAACAATTGGACCCGTTTGATCAAAAAAAAGTTTTTAAAGTGTATGATGTTCGCTCAATGTTTTGTAAACTATCCTTTCAATTCGGAATAGGTTGAATGTAGTACAGAATATTGACTAGCCATTATATCGCGATGAGTTCTCAGATACCCAAAAACTATCCGTATGTTTTATAAAAACATACATGATTAATTTGAAAATGTGTTTAGGGGAACACAGTAAAAAAAGTCAAATTGAAATTATTTGGATTTTCTAAGAGTTTCTTATTTATAGTGATTGTTGTGATAAAAATCAACTTTACTATGATACTTTTATTTTTTTCATTTAATACCAAAAATAACCGGTTGCTAGTGAAGTAGCAAAGAATTATCCGGCCATATTCACCAAAAAAAAACTTTAAAAATTTTGTTTTTATTTTCTCATTTTAGTGATGTCTCTCGTGAGTGGTGTGATGAAATAACAATACAATCGTGTGAAAAATTTGTAAACTAGATATAATTCACAATAGTTGTCTTTGAAAAATGATTTACAAACAATAAAAAAAATTCAAAAACTTCTTAATACCTTTTGAATCTTTTTTTTCGCACAATAGTTTTAAATTTTTTGTCAACTAACTTTTGCCTAAAAAATCAAGTTTTTTTTAAAAATTCTAACTGGCTACCGCTAATCGATCGCTTTTGTCACTCGAATTATGACTAAAACTCAAAAATTTCAAATCGGTTTTTGTCCTGAATGGGACAATTTTTTGAATTTCTATGTCGTTCGAATCGGAATAATGGCTTTATCATGATATATCGTTTTATATATGCCAATTAAAACTTGCGGTACCTGTTTTTGCTTAGAAAACACAAAAAAGAACAAAAAACAAAAAAAATTACAACGTATCCAAATAAAAACTCTTTTTTCTTTTTTAATGGTCTGAACAATAATCTACTCTCACAGCATGGATTAATCTCAGACGAGCAACAAAAAATGCAATCATAAAGTTTCGACTCAAACAATGTTCAGCATTTTCCATTTCTTTCAACTTTGTGTTTTTTCGTGAACGGTGTGATGTTGATGTTAGTAATAATCAGTACAGTTTTTTCTTCAAAAAAAAACTGACAAGCACAAAAAATCATAAATAAGATATTCCAATAAAATTTCTGAAGTTTTTGTATTTTTTGTTGCAGAATTTTTATAGTATAGCCGAAAAAACGCTAAATGAAGCTCCCTCAAAATATTTTTCCTAAAATAAAACTAAATTTTATACTGTTTTAACTATATTTTTAAAAGGCTTACTCGCTCGCTTTATTTGCTCGAAGACTTTTATAATTTTGAGAAGTTTCTTGTTTTGAAGATTTTTATGCTAAATATTATTCTAAAGCTAGCCAGTTTTTTTTGCATAGTTGATTAGGCTTGGGTACGTTTGGCAGCATTTCCGAAAGTACAGTTTAAATAGAAGCAGAAAACCATTAACAGATCGCACCTCAAAATAATGCGAGATCGATATGGTTTTGTATGTGATCATCTTTTGCCGTGTTTATAACAAACTACAAAAAAATTTCAGTGAGGGCATGATAGCAAGTTTTAGATGAGTGTTACTTATTTCATCCTTCCTCATAAAAATATGGAGACATTTAGACATTGTTTCAATAATTATTACCAATATGATATGACGAACTTCTATGCTTTCGACAAAAGAAGTTTAACGCAAACAATTTTTTGTTATCGATTTCTATCGTGTTTTGAAAGTTTTTCTCATGTAAGAAGTATGATTAGTATTTTTCTAGATAACTCATGTACGTGTTTGTATAATTACACATTGCCTTTTATGGTGGGAATCACAGGCAGGGAATCTACTTGTGTTTTACATTGAGTTTGGCCCAAAATGCACCATCATTATCTTGCAGCTATTCAGTTATTGATACGGTATTGATGATGTTTGCTCAACATTAACCTACACTAATAAAACTCAGCCGGAATTTTTTTAAAAAAATCACATAAACCCTATGCAAGGGTTCTCGGTTAAAAGCCGAACTGTTCGTTTGTTGATCTCTTAACTCATAGTCTTTTTACGTGGATAAATAGTGCGTTAAAATAGTGACCTTCTGCAGACTGTTGGCTGTACTAGTGACCGCCCTCTGCATGACTAGACTCTGCCTCAGTAACTCGTCCATCTCCCCCTCCACCCCTCTCTTCTCCTCCAGCAGAGTCCCCTTCTCCCTCTCCTTGGAGTCTATTTCCCTCATCTTCTCTTCATTCGTGTCTGTCATGTGGCCGCTGAAGGTAGCTTGCTGCTGGCAGTAGTCTTCTCTATCGTCTGCCTAATTGTTTTTTTTTCTAATTAGAAACTCTAAAACTATTCTAATCGATATTTACTTTTTTTTAAATACTTTGTACCAATGCCCTAAAATTTTGCTCGGTCGCTGCAGAAAATTGCGCTAAACATTATCGTACATTGTAGGTTTTGCTGGCGAGTTTTGCTAGATTTAAGTTGTTTTTTGTTATATTTAAAGCTTGGTATTTTTATTAGTTTGCAAAAAAAACTATTCGAATGCCGTGTTACCGTTTTACTGCCAGTTGGAATACTTACAAGCAGATGAATAATTTGAAGTATCTTAGTAAGAAAAGTTGGTTCATCCCGCATTGCGATTTGAGAGGTTAATTAAATGAGGTCAGGGTTATTGCAGTCATACCTCGTTCAAGATCTGGTCCAATGCCTTCCTCAACTCCCCTATCTCTCTGTCTCTCCTCTTCTGCTTGTCAATCACTCCACTCCACTGCTCCACAATCTCCCTCCGCTCATCTATCAGTTTCTAAACAAACAGTCACAAACAGAGCTCAAATAGAGGTCAAACAGGTCAAGGTCAAATAGTGATTAAAATAAAAATCAGATTCAAATGCAATTAGAAGGAAAAATAAAAAAAATTAAGGAAAATTGGATGTTAGCAATTACTTTAAACATCACAAATTGTGGTGCCCATTTCTTCCTTAGCAATATTAAAACAATTTATTAGGGAGTAAAGCGTTTAAAAGTTTTACTCTATCTTTTAGGGATCTAAAGCTATAGCTCATAACAAACTTTAAAACTTACCTGAAAATTCTCGGCCTCCACATCCAAACCAGCATGCAGTTCGCTGGTCTTCGCCCTCTCTTCCTCCATTTTACCCCTGAGATCCAGAAGAACCTGTTCCAGAGAGGCAATCTCACGCTCTTTTTTGCCCAGTTTCGCCTCGTCCATCTAGAGAAAAACCGCGATGTGAACAAACTATGGACAAAATACCGAAAGTCCTAGTTGAACGTTTTCCCGAGAAAATCCCTTCGTAAAAATTGTCTAACAACTCTGGTTGTGAACACTTGCAGACTTTTCATGAACCGTATTTATAGAAAAAAATATAAAACATTTGGGTAAAAATTGGTTAAAATTCGATATCTTTTAGGCAATTTGGTGCTTGATTGGCACCTTGAAGTATTTGTTGACAGTGCACTTCATCTGGTCGATGAGGAGAATCCTGTCAGAGTAGGTCTCCATGTCCGCCATCACGTCTTCAGTCGTCTGCTGCGCATCTTCGGACTTATCTGCCACTCTATCATATTGGGATCCAGTTGTACAACCAAAAAATCATCCCAAAAATATAGTCCTACATTTTTAAAAAAAAGATCAACGGGAAGGTAACTACTGTCATTAATAGTTTGCAAGAAAGTTGGAAATAGAATATTTCGGCTCATTAAGCTTGGCAGGCACACTAGCCAAATAAGTGTACTTTTTAAGCGAGGGTGAAACAGCATTTGCAAAAGTTTTGCTGAAATACCCAAATATATGTTAGAAGTTAAAATATTTTTCATTTTCCAGCGGCGTAGTTGAGATTTTAACAACTTGAAAATCTCCCTTTGCGTTTCCTGGCTCGGGTTCTACAACTTCACCTGGATCTGAGTTGTTCCCAGAAGGAACAGATGTACTCGCTCTCTTGCATGTCGCGGAGGTGCTCGTTGATCAGGGACCGATAGGCGCTACAAAGAGACACCAAGTTAATTTCAAACTCAATTAACTTTTAGCACAGACTTAAAATTTCCAGACTAAATCTACATTTCCATATTTAAGTCCACCCCTATCTCCCCAAACCCCCATCTGCTATTTCTTAACACACCTTTTCCTCTTTTCACCCTTTCTTCTAACCTAAGTTGGTTGTTGAGGAGTGCCTTGTGCTGTTTCTCGTTCTCAATCCCACTCCTCTTTGCTTCCGCCATCTCCCTCTCCTCCCTCAGCGCCTCCTTCACCTCCTTCACATCTCCCCCGTCTCTCTCCATCTCCCCCTCCAGCCTCTCCATTTCCTGTCAATCAATCATAAAACAGGTGTGCTTTCTACTAACAGCAGCTAGCTGTTTAATATTTGCCAGTATGTCTTTTGATAATCATATTTCAATCTACATTAATGAAACTATCCGATTTTTCAAACTTCCGTTCAAAACGTCAAAATCTACTTAGTTCTTGATATAGATTTCTTCGATATTAATAAGTAAATTGAATACTTTGTATAAGAGGTTGGTGGTTTTTCTATATAATAACTTAAAGATCATTATAATGAACTGTGAGGTCTCCAGAAAAAATTACGATTTGCAGACTTGGACGAAAGCTTTTGTTGATTTCTTTATATCGAAAAATCATCAGTAACTTCGCTGTTCATCAAAAAAATGTAGCATTTGAGGACTTTTGAGCAATAATATTGTATTGCAGTTTTGTTGCATCAGCTTGTGTTTTTTAGTGCGGCATTGCGATCCCTTGTTGATTGATGACCAAGTAGCAGAAAGTCTCGACCAAAATCAAGAAATTTTAAAGTTTATGTCTTTTTTGTGCGCGGTGTTATGAGAGAGACTTAACGACAGATTTTTTAAAAACTTCTCGTTGTCAAGAAAAAGCTAAAAAAGCTGCTTTGGGAACCAAATTTTGTTGAGTAAAGTTTAAAGTTTCAACGCAAAAATAAAACTTTTCATTGTAAAACGCCTGCTCTCTCGAAATATTAATGAAAAGCTAGAAACTAAAATGGATTTTTCTCGATACTGTGTGAAGAAATGGAAAGTGATTAAAATCGTTCAAATCATGACTGATTCATAACTCTTGTTTTTAGGAAATGGTTCCAGTGTATAGATGGCCAAAAAAGAAGACCTACTCTTTCATCTACTTTGTGTTTTAATGCTTGTGACAAGTATCTTATCTTGTTTAAGAGTATTAACTTTTTCATGCTTAACGAAATAAATTTTGTACGTTTAAGCTATATCGTATTTTGCACAGCTTAATTTTTTTTCGATTTACCAGTTTTTGAATGCTAGGTAAATTGGAAGATTCGATAGTAAGGCTGAAGCAGGGATGCCAGCATGGAAAGGGAGAAGTAGGGCAGAGCAGTGTAGTTAAGTGTAGAGTAGTGTAGTGTAGTGTAGTGTAGTGTAGTGTAGTGTAGTGTAGTGTAGTGAAGTGTAGTGTAGTATAAAGGTTTTACTCATCCAACTATATAAAACTTCATGGTCGTTTTTCGTTTCACCGTTCATTTCACGCATATTGAAATCAGCAAACCCATGCTGGCGTGAGGTCAGCGTTTAAACAGGTTTAAAATAGGTCTTTAAATATAAGTATCTAAATTTTCTTGCTTTCCGAAAAACAAAACTTTTCATTATTTTTTAAATATTTTTTTTACAAAAACTTGGATTAAAAAAAATTAAGTAAATCTGAAATTTTCAACCTTATCTTATCAGGGTTTGCTTACTGGATAAACACCAAATAAAATTGACCTTCAAATAGTATTGTTCAAATCGTTTTGGTTTTCGAGATACAGCTTACTTCTGCAGTTTTTCTTCAATTCAAAAAATTCAATAATACTCATACATTCTGAAATTTTCATTCTTTTGGCGGTGTGTTTAGAATACAACAGTACAAAAAGAAGATGAAAGTCTGGTGTCCAAATATGATTGCTCAAAACCCTTTAAAGTCCGAGATATGCTGTTTTAAATGATTTTTCAAAAGTTTTCAAGTAATTAAGATAAAATTAACCTCCATAAAATTGCAACTCTTAATTCCATGGTTTTGAGTAAGTTGATGTTACACTATTATTAGGGATTGCAGCAGAAAAACAAACAAGACTGCTAAGATGATATCAGTTATCTCAGATTCAACAAACTTTCAATCCATTTAGCCATCCAATAATTAGCACTCAAAACATACTGCTATCCTTCTTTGTAACGATCCATTCATCCCTCTATCTTACCAACGATCCTTCAAGCCAACCATCAATTCAACCATCCAATCGTCAAGCTATCCATCAATCTTGTCATCCATACAATGATACATCCATTCATCAAAACGTTCATCAATCCAACCATCCATACAACCAAGCATTCATCCAAGCAGCCAGTCATCAAGTCAACAAGTCATAAATCTGCCCAATCTTTTAGCCATTCCTCAACATATCTACTCATCCATGCATCTCACCAGCCACCCATCAGCGATCTAGCCTTTGATTGAACCAGCCATCTCTGCGTCCAGCAAGCCACTGAGCCGTCCCTACATCCGCAAAACAAACAAACATCCAGCCATCTAGCTATACAGTCAGTCATTAACTCATGTAGTCAGCCGTCAATCCATCTAACCGTTCAACCAACCAGTCTTCAATCCATCTAGCCCATCTATCCATGAATCCGTCATTCATCATGTCATCCATCCATCCAAGCAGGCATCGATCAATACTATCATCACTCAAGCCAAATGTAACACCCAACCAACCATCCACCGAATCATTCATCTAGCCAACCATTCATTCATTCATTTATGCGGCCATCCATACCTTAATCGATCCTTCACCCGTTTAACTTATCTCCATACTGCCATGCACCCACTCAACCGGCCATCCATTCAACCGCCATCATCTAGACATCGATTGATCATGCAACCAGCTGCCCATTCATATTGCCATCCGTCGATCCAACCATCCATCCATCCATCCATCCATCCAACCATCCATAAAGCCCATTCAGCCATCCAATTATCAATTCGTCGATATTTTCTTCCATCCATTCAGTGAACCACCCATATACCTATGAATGTAGCCCTCTAACCATCCTGTCATCTATCCATGCAGGGGTATACTCATCTCAGCCAGCCATACTTTATCCAGCAGTCTCTTTTCAG